ATCTAAGTCTGCTTTGCAAGATTTGGAGCCATTATTTTCAGGGGTGTCGGTGTGTATTTTTATGAGTCATATAATAACCAGTTAAAACAAGAAAAGTATTGTATACATCACTTCTCAGATATGTTTGATTTGAAATGATTTTTGATAAATAAAGTGTAGCAAGAGATTTTCAAATATGCTGTGATTTAAATCATTTTCTTTGTCATCTTATAAGTTCACCGGACTTTGAACATTTTTGACATCTTGTGGTAATTTGCAGAATAATGCAGAAGCAAACAGAGTCAGAATAGTTGAGAAGTACAGCCAGATAAAAGCCCACATTGAGGAGGATCAGAAACTGATGTTGGCCATTCTGGAAACAGAAGACTTTTACACCAACAAGTGGCTGAGATGGAGGAGTGAATCACTGGAGGGTCGTGTTAGAGATATTAATGCTGCCCTAAGATCAAGCCAAACGCTGCTTGAGGAAGAGAATGACATTGTATTTCTCCAGGTGCATATTTTAAGTTTATTTTTGAGTGCACATTTTCCTTATTTCTTTTTCATCTGTATTTGATGACTAAGAGAAAACTAAATTTATTTGACAGCATTTCAAAAAACATGGACTAGGGTGAGTTCTTTCTGCATTCTCTTAAAAAATTGCACTTTATGAGAAACATATCCATAAAATAACACTTTATTTTATTGGGATTGAAATGGCAAATGTAATAAAAAATTTAAAAAAATTCTCTACTATGCCATGAATATTTCAAAGAATCCCTCAACATCAATCTAGTTCCCAGGTGGAATTGCCACTCAAGTCTGTGATAGAGCAAGAGTACAGCACCCCAGACAAGATGAAGACAGTCGAACAGCTGGTTGATAACTTAGATGAAGTTGTCCTTCAGAACACTCAGCGGCTGTGGTCTAGTAAGTATGGTGTTTCAATGCCCAATGACAAAATACATACTTAGACTTACATAGGCTTACATTTTACAGACATTAATCCTACCTTATAGTGAAAGATATCAAATTTTTTCCACCTGCAGGTCTCAGAGCAATAAGTTTAGGCCCAGAAACAGCACACCCTGAGTTGGAGGTGTCAGCAGACAGGCTGGAGGTATACTGGAGTAAGAAACCAACCCCAGAGAGGAAACAGAAAACAAACATCAACTCTCAGTACAGCGTCCGGGCCAAGGAGAGATTCTCCAGCGGCTTCCACTACTGGGAGGTGGCTGTCTGGAAGAAACCCTATTGGTTGATTGGTCTGTCATATGGGTCAGCTAATGGAGATCAGGATTCAGAGCATTGCAACGGTGACTTTAACAATGCATTCTGCTACGTCTATCATGGTAATGGAAAATATCTAATTTGTCAGGACTCAAATGAAAAGCCACTGGCAGTAAGGAAAACCATCCAAAAACTTGGAGTTTGGGTAGATATCCAGAAAGGGAATGTGTCTTTCTATGATGGCGATACGCTGGCTTTGCTCCACTCATTCTGTGTTGAATTTTCTGGCCCAGTTTATCCCATCTTTAATCCCTGTTTTGACATAAATGGCCAAAACAGTCAGCCTCTTGCCATTGTAAATCTAAGAAACAAAAATATTTCTCAAAATGCTTGAATACATGTTTCCCAGTTACATAAGTAATAGATAGCTTATTCTATAGTGTATATCTGTCTGTTTTATATAATTGAGTTTGGTGTAGTTATCACGAGAAATATAGGATTTAATACTTTTTGCATCAATGGATATTAACTGTAACAATTAACCCATTATTCTCTGGATGTTTTAAACTTGAAAAGTGAGAAAGTGGTGCAAATAGAAAGATTTATTTTTTTTCATTTTCAAAAATTTTCATTTTTGGGTGAACTATCCCTACCTAGGCACCTACTCAATAAAAAATGTCATAGACATGTACAGATATATAATTAGGCAATAGGTTAGTTTTGTATTTTGTCCAGAAAACCTGAGTTTATCCAGCTTTAGAAGACAGAAAGCACTTCTTGACAAAGTTGTAGTGCACCTTAAGCTCAGATGGGCCTCCTGCCAGTGCCCTGTTAATGTGATACGGGCACTCCCTAAAGACACAGGCACTAGTGTACTGACTGCTTTGTCTGCTGTAGAAGTTTTTCTAGTTACAGCGGAGCTGTCCACTTCAGCACCACACATGCACAATGAAACCATGAAGTCTCAAATATCTCCTGCATTTGCACCTCTTCTTGGACCCATCAGGTATGTCAGGTTGCTTGTCCCTCTGTTTTTTTACTAATATGCTAAAAAGTAGGTATAGCAAGCCTCTTGAGAGTGTGGTGTACATGTTATTTATTTTCGGAATTTTACTGCAGGCTGTCTTCAAATGGTATTGTCTATTGGATTGATTCTAGGCTTCTTGTGCTTGTTTGTTTTGACTTTGCAATTGTAACTTCTTGTGGAGACTTTTGCTTTTAGTGGTTGCAGAAAAATAGTGTATTATTAATGTATATTTGAACTCATGTGCTTTAATTTTTGATCATAGATCTGTTGTATACCCTAGACGTCCATTGTGGTCATCAGTCACCTTAGAAGCTAATGTCTAAGAGCAGTCAATTTGAGTAAAGTATTCTTTCCAAAGCTCTCAGATAACACAGTAGGTAATGCAGTACAGCACTACCCAGTGCCTGGTGTCTCTGTGTTTGTGGGAGGTCAGCCGAGTTGTACAATATTTGTACAGCACTCTTATGTCTTAAAGTTAATGCCTAAACTCTTGCTCTTAAACTACTTTCACATTATGTACACCGAGAAAAAAAAAATCGAAACAATTTTCACTCTGAAATTGCTAGTACGTTTCACATATAATTACAAAGAAATGGCAAGTAACACACTGAATTAAACATGAAATGTTCAAGTAGAAAAACTGGAATAGTATTTTCTTGTAAAATGTAATCCAGTAATCTTTATTTTATTTACAACTTCTAAAAATCATTTTTACAGTGTAATGTGTTTTAAAGATATTTATTTTTTAATTACCTACAGTATTTTTCAACATACAAATACAAATTACCTACAGTTTTTTTGACGTACTCATTTTTGCCTTTAACTGAAAAATGAGTGTTTACTATTGTCACTTTGCATTATTGACACACTATTTTTCTAATTAATGCTGTACAGTTGCTTTGACACAATCTGTATTGTTAAAAGCGCTATATAAATAAAGGTGACTTGACTTGACTTGACGTACAAATAGTTTATATAGTCTCAATTATGAGGTCAAAAAAAGGTCATAAAATGATTACACAATATTAAAAATGTATTAACATTAAAAATTTTTAAAATGAGAAAAAGTATTGCATGGCACAATGCAGGATAGTGCTGTCACATCATGTCAACTACTCAAATACTGTATATAGTAAAGGGTGGAGAGGAAATTGTAGGTAGAGAGTATGAATGACAGCACTATGGCTCACTATGTCACATGCACTAACCATTAGACCATGGCTTTGACTCTTGGAAGTTTTGCTGATTTACCACAATCCTCTTGAGGCAGCAAGCACAGTGCTGTTAGCAATGAAATATTTACTGTATGTATATATATATATATATATATATATATATATAAATATATTTACAATATACTGTGCTGAATGTATGAAACATTGGAGTGACTCATTAGAAGTTGCTAGTATATTACATTGTTGAGTACTGCCAGGAGCTACATTGAGAGGCATGTGTTTATTTTATTCTTAATATCTCTCCTTATATTTTATTTAAAAGAAAACAGGCTTGTGCTTTAATTTGATTTTCATCTGTTGGTGCCTTAGGTCCTAGTACAGTAAAATCACAGCCTTTAGGCATGCACAAAACATAGTGTAATATATGCTGAAAACAGCAGTCAATGTAGTGTTCAACAAGGTTAGACTAATGAAAAACTTTAACACTTTAACAAGCCTATATTCAATGAGCATCACAAGTGATCTCCAACATTTAAAGCAGCAGTCGGGAACAAACAAAGCATTGACAGAAGTATGTCAAAATCCCCGCCTTGGCGAATATTCACATAAACACAGTCGATGTAAGCACTGTACTTTGTTCTTCACTCATACTGACACTTACATACAGACAGAGCTCTGAAGAGGATTTACTGTATGCTCCACAGGTGATAACTCAACCTCACAGTGAAAGACCTGCACAATTAATAACATATTGCAACTTGTTATTTATTGTTTGTTGCATATTTGTTTTTAGTTGTCTAGGGACCTAATAAAGTTACTAATATTGAAATGTTATTGAAAAATGCATTAACCAAAAATGGGGGGGAAAAAAGGTTCCCAGACACAGATTTAAAGGGATATTCCACCCAAAAATGAAAATTGTCATCATTTCATTCCACCTATGTCATTCCAGACTTGTATTTCTTTCTTTTGTGGAACACAAATGCATGCGGGCAACAAAAAGCACCAACCTAGTGATGTTTACACTTACAGTTAATCTACAGTTAAGAATTTACTCTAATGTAAGCACAGCTAATCATTACAGCTCTGTCGCATCACAGTCATCTCCTGTTTACTATGAAGTATAATTGTATTAAGCTGTAGAATTATTGTAAAAAAATTACACAAACAAAACAACAGCAGCTACTAGCAGTAATATATGTTAAATTCACAAAAGTGTTTTTTTTTTTTTTTACATTGTGAGAGTGTCTGCTGAAACTCAGGATTGTTTCAGTTCAGATCAATAGTTGTAATCCCAATGGCCTTTTCTCAACCCCTGCTACTGTATAAATCTATTTACAAGGGGCTTTCCCTCTGGCCAGCACCCAACCTGGGAGCAACCCCCCCCTTACCATCTGTCACTGTGTTACTGCAAAATGCAAAAAGACCGAGAGCTGACGCACCTGATAGGCTTCTTTTTAGAATGAGGTAGGTCTTAAGAACATGAGTGACAGGGTGTATGCCGGAAGTCCTGTTGAGCTAAAACAGGTTTTCGGGAGGGGGGAACGACGCGCTAAGTCGTCTGGGTGGCGTAAATCCAGTATGCGTGAGCCAGTAAGGCAGGCCCGAGCTGTTTTTATTTTGTGTGGAGAAGAGAGGGAGGCACAGAGACTTCATACACATGAATAGCCTCTTTTTCTGAAGTCTCTGAAGGAGGGAATTTACTGCGTTCCCACTGCTGCAGTGTAGCGGATGGGAAGGAGCGGTTGAGAGGGGAGTTAACAGGTAAAGGGAGGGGCTTGACTGTAATTGGTTTCTATGTGTGTTCATGTAACAGTTACAGGAGTGAGGACAGGAGGAGGGGTTGGAAGAATCCTATTAGCTACAGCAGAGGAAAAGTAGGTCTAAATGGCCTGCTTAACAGAAAGAACATATATTAACAATGTGTTTGAACAATTTCCTTAGCTAATTTTGACGTTTTCTGACATTTCAGAAATAAAATAGTACACCAATGATTTAAATGGCTGAGAAAGTCAAAATAATTAATAAACATGTTAAACATGCTTTGCAATGAATGACAGTAAGTAGGATTTATAATATTTAAAAAACAAAACAAACAAAACTTAAAATTACACCATATACCTCTTCATACTCTTTGGGAATATTAAAGATATGAAAGCTAAATTTTTTTCCATAATTAAAATTGTAGGTTTCATTTCAAAGATTTTTGCAGTAGTTGCAAAGCAGAATAATTAGTACTCATCATGAAAATCACCAAATTTGTGGGTTAAAAAACAACAACAAAAACAACTAACACTTCAGATTAGGGAACTCTATTCACTATTAACTAGCTGCTTATTAGCATATTGGCTATTTATTAGTACTTATTTAGCACATATTAATGGCTTATTCTGCATGACCATATTCCAGATCCCTTAACCCTACCCAATACCTAAACATAATTACTACAACTATTAATAAGCAGCAAATTAGGAGTTCGTTGAGGGAGAACTTTTAGTTAATAGTGAATATGTGTTCCTTAATGTAAACTGTTACCAAAAAGTTTTATTTTAATTTTTTAGTATTTTAAAAATATATTAAAGTAGCACTAGAAACAAAATAATAGTCTTTCTATATCTACATATATTTGTAGTTAATTCTAACAAATTTTTAACAAACATCTGACAATATTTTGTCATGAATGTGGCATGTTCTTTTTGTTAAGGAATTTGATCCTAAAACAAGTTAATTAAAGGGGGATCGATTTCAAGTTGTTACAGGTTACCTTGGAACATGTAAAACAGATAACGTTACTAGGCATACAGTATAGTCAATACATTTCAGCTAAAGCACTGCAGGAAGACTGCAGTAAGTAAGGGCTTTGAATGTGAAAATCTGCTATTCACGTACAAAAGCTCTGCTTCTGTCATTCAGACTGACTGCAATTATGAGCTGAGAGTTATTTAAAGTGTTAGTCTCCCTACCTGCCTGTGTAGTTTGACTCTGTGGCATTATTGGTGTCTGGTTTGTGAATATGATGAATAGTGTTTTTCAAATACAAAGGAAGTGTTTGTAGTGTGTGTGTATGTAAGAAAAAGAGAAGAGAGACCTAGAGAGCTCCCATACATATGTATAAGCACGTGTGTGGTCTCTGAGAGAAATCTATGCTCTATCCTTCCCCGCCTCCTCCCCCATAACTGCAGTGGTGGTCATGATGCCGGGTGCGTACGACTCAATCAATTGAGTGCAACACCTGGCACACATCCAATCGCAGCCACACTTGCCCACTCTCACAAGAGCTGACAGAACACAAGCAGCTGTGTGAGACTAGCATGTGAGAGCTTAGACTGGCTTATGAGCATCAAAGAGAGTGAAGCCTCGAAGGCATTTTGTAATGATCAGCCTCGTCTCTCTTCTGAGCTATTGAGATATGCAGTAGGTTTATTTCATTTAATGTGAACTGACTTTGAGGTTTTGTAAAGGTGATTGCAGTCTAATGCAGATGGTAAAGCCTTTCTGAATGCATTACAGGAGAAAGATTTATATGGAGTTCTATGTGTTCTATGGTCACGAGGATATGTTATGTTTAATTAGAATGTCACACATATAGATCCTCTTGCCATCAGTAAACACACTATTTATTTTGGAGGAGTACAGTATAACCAAGAGGAGCCAAGGCGGTTAGTTCACAATTTTTTTGCTTTAGATTTATTGTGCGATTTCTAACTTTTTCATAAATATCAATTTAAATGAGAGTTCAAAATACTGTAGACCTAGAACATATTGCTTGCTAGTGTTAATGTTAGAGTGAGTTATGCTGGTCAGTGTACAAATGTCATACTGAACCTATTCTAAAAGATGTTAATGTAATGTTAAAGTTGAAATACTTCTTCTTGTTTGTCTCTTATAGGTGATTTTGAGGATGATATTGGAGTCCATCCAAACTCTATCTCAGATGTGAACAGCAATATACTTCCTGAGCAAGCAAGATGACCAGTATGATTAATCAATTGCAGAGAACATGTGTTGTGCTGTAGGACAGGCTGATTTTGCAGGCTAATTTTGGTCAGTCATGTCTCAGTCAGGTAAAATCCTCCACCTGTATGTAGAGGTGAGATCTGTCACTGATGAAGAAGGAAAAGACCTGGGAGATGTGGCGAAAACAGACTCCCTCATGTTGACAGCACCAGACATCCTTCAGTCATCGCAGTATAGTGGCCCTAATGCACCACATGGCCAGACATCCCCACGTGGAGTCCTGCATAAAGATGGAAGCAGCACCCAGACCTTGGCCTCTAGTAAATCAACATCTAGACACTCCGTAAGTTTTCAGCTACATCCAGGACATGACTCAGACCAACCGGTGACACAACACCAGAAAAGTCTACCTTATGATGAGATAAACCAGTTACTGTCTGCCTTTCAAACAGATCCCACTGGAAATGCATGTCACTTGGTGTGTGCTCCTTCTGAACGTGACCCCTTCTTTGGGAAGGAACCTCACTTCTCAGGACGGTTTACTGCCCCTCCCACTCCCAGTGGAACTCGTAAAGCTTGCAGCCCAACTAAAATGAAGGGAGGAAATGAAGGGAGGCGATCTGTTGCCACTTTCAGTTACATTGAAAAAGCTAAAATTAAATCAGTAGAGGGTCAGTATAGCTCTTTGTGCCAAAGCAAGCCTCAGAATCCTTTCAACAGAACCATGGAGGAGAGTGCTACCCCTCTCCACCTCAGGATAAGGCTCAGTGATCCAGTGTGGCTCAACAGCTTGGAATCCATGAACAACTGTAGTTCAAAACAGCTTAGTCAAGGTTTGGGGAACTCACATATAGGTACTTCCAGCTTTAGGAGGGCAACTCTAGACTCCATTGCCAGAGAAGCCACCCATCGAGCATTGGAAGAATTCGGTTCCCCACAAATAAGGCAAAAACTGGCAGGCAACTGTCCTGATAGAGGTCATGACGTCAGAAGAGGAGATCAGCGTCGCTGTCGGTCTTGGTCTGGATCACCAGTGATACCATGCAGTTCTAGGACCCTGCCCACTAAAGCAACAATAATGGACCATGAGCGGAATAGTTTGTTTTATAGAATTCCTAGGAGCCACGCTACAGACCAACTGTCTAACCATGCCAAGCAAGCTTACTTTACAATGTCACACTCAACCGCCAACACTCAGGAGGTCTCAAACCAAAGAGTGCAAGGGTATAGGTTTCGCCCAAATTTACCATCCTGTAAGCCTACAGCTATTCAACATGAACTGCCAGCTATGATTTTACTTCAACCATCAAGCAATCAACAAAACAGTCATTCCATAAGTGATAGTCCATGGCAAGCCCACAGAGTTAATTTCAACCTGGCCAACTCAAAAAATAAGGTAGAAGAAAGAGCTAACCAACTGAGTGGAAGGAGGAGCGTATCCCCAGCCACAAGTCCCGAGATAGCTTGTAAACTAGCAGAAGAAGCCACCAAACTTTCCATACTTATGGAAGCCCGGAGGTCTCCAACCCCAACCCCATCATCGACAGACACAGTAAAGTCTGACAGTCCCCAGCTGGGACATTCAAGAGAGCCTCAGCTCTATGCTAGCTTCCAGGGCCCTGGAGCACAAACTCACTCTAATTGCAACCTTCCTGGTCAGGAGTACAACTGTAAACAAGAGTCTGTCAAAACTGGTCACCACTCTGTTCAAACAACTCCTCTTTTGCCCCACATTGGAAGTATATCTCCAGCAGCTCCAGCAAGGTTGAACCGATCAGATGTAATACCGTCCTCTCCAATACGAGACCCACGGATAGAGAGAACACCGTTGGTAGGGAAGGACAGCCCGACTTTGCATCGGCACCTGTCTTCCCAGTACACAAGAGACAATCATACACCTAGCTATGAGCGTAGGCAGTATGAGACACTCAGAGGTCTCAAAGACAGCCCAAATAGCAGCAGGAGACATTTCACAAGGCCTAACCTAGAGACATCAAGCTGGACCGCTCAGCAAAAGCATGGGAAAGAGGAATGCTTAGCCAGAGAAAAGGGAAACTTGAGGGAGATGGACAGTCATAAGAGCAATAGTCCAACAACACCAGTCTCTCAAGAGAACCATTGTAGGGTCTCAATGCAGAAAAATGAGATGAAAGCTGACACTAGGACTAACAAGGACTGGAGTGGTACAGCATCACAGAGTTCCAGTGGGGTCACAGGCAGCCTTATAGAGAGCACGCTACATGAGAAAGACTGCATATCCTCTGAAATATCTAGCAAAACCAGCCAGAAGAGTTCTGACTCTGGAAACACAGGCATACAGGTAATCTTGGTACACATCTTTAGATTCATCTCATGCCTTGATTCACTTCTTGATTTTGTTGTCTGATAACTCAGATAACTCAATTTTTGTTTGTAGTCTGAAAGTGGACCATTTCTTCTGAGGCCTTCCTTGCGCTCTCAGAAGATTGCTCGTGCCAAATGGGAGTTCCTGTTTGGGTCCCACTCCGATCAACAAGATCAGCATGAAACAAATGGTGAGAATTTCTTAGAAATGTCCAACTCATACTTCCAGAAGGCAGTTTTCTGAAATGTCATCCTTATTTCTTTCATTTGCCTCTCATTGTAAACAAGCTGTTTGCCTCATAATGAATGCTTAATCCAATTATGTAACAAGCCTCATCCCCAAAGCATGACATTAGGATTTGCCTTCTCTGTTTAACTTGGCTCTTTGTTTTTTTCTCATTGCTTCTCAAGGTGTTATACTTTCTCTTTACTGAAATGACCTTTTAATGGATTTATGTTACAGCTTTGCTTGATTTTAGCTGTGGTTTTATGTTGTGTATAAATTTCTTGAAAAATTATGAATTTATCTGTATTTCCTGTGGCCTTCAGCTATATTCTTTTTAGGTTCATTGAGTTTACATTCTGTACTGTGTGTAGGTGTTTTCAATTCACTGATGTCAAAGAGAGAGAGGTTAGAAGAGAATGAGTCACTTGAATTATTCTTGAGAATTGCTTGTTTTATGTGGTTATTCCTTTCCCTTACCTTGACATTTATACAGTTTGCAAATACTTTTATCCAAAACAATTTCAGGCTATACTTTTTATCAGTGTATGCATTTCTTGGGACTCAAACTCATGACCTTGGCATTGATACTAGTGCCATACTCTACCTGTTGAGCTACAGGGCCTAATGTCATACAACTGTTAATTTAATAACGTCCTTATTTGTAAGCCAAGTCAGATAAAACCTTCTGCAAATAGAAGTAAATGTGGCCAAAACCATTTACTGTTTACTGAAACTGAATTATAAAGGTTAAACATTTTGTCTGTTTAGAGAGACTGTTTTATATACAGTATATACTACCTTATTTCAAATAGAAAGAATGACACTCTCAATCCTTTGGTTTTCCTTTATTAACACACATTCCAGGCTCCTCCACCACACCCTCCAGTGGTTGTTCCAGTGAGTCTCCAACACCCATTCCACCCTTGTCTACCCCCGTAAGGCCAATAACAACCCACTCAAGACACTGTAAATCAACTGGCTCTTCGAAATCTGCATGCCACAATGTACAGCAAGTTGAAGTGGAGTTGATAAACCATCATCCCACAATGGAGCGCTCCAATAAGACCGGCATCACCAGACGTAGTGTCAAATATTCAGAGACAGACATAGATGCGGTGCCCCAGCGCTGTTACAGGGAAACAGACCTTGATGAGGTGATGCTGGCAGAACAGGAGGAGGTGGACTCTGCTTTTGGCAGTAACCGCAGTGTGCTAGGCACCTCAGGCACTAACAGCAGCAGCCCCCTGGAGGGAGTGTTGTGCCCACATACAGATGGTGAGGAGGAGCTGCAAGATGAAGAGGTGGTGAGCTGGGCCAGTGTGAGGATGCAAGGTGACAAAAAGAGGCAAAATGCCACACCTGAGGGAGATGAAGTGTTTAGTCGACTGCTAAGAGGGTGAGTGTGGAATATAATACACTATAGCTCCACTGCATATGTGAATTCTCACACATATCCGACACCACATCCCAGTGAATGCAACAGAAGACTTTCACTTGATATCTGTTTAAGATTTCGATTTTGTATGCCTGCTTCATGTTGTCTTGCTCCATTTTGAAGACTTTAGGGGAAAATTAAAGTGGGTCTATATAGTTTCCTGCAGACGCCCAGGGGGGCTGCAATGGAGTGCAAGGAGGTCAGAGGAAAAGTTTTGAGAAAAATAGTATTAAAATGGTATAAATAAATAAAATAATAACATAAAATTAATTCACATTTACATATACATTATAATACTACTAAAGACTTCATCAGATTATTTTGTGGCATAATTTTAAATGATGCAGACATTTAAATCATAGGAGCACATCTATGACTTATGCTCTTCTTGCAGTCCCCCAGATTGCCAGCCTGACAGCCACACGGCTTTGAAGTCTCCCATCTCTGTCACCAGCCCCTGCCGAATCTCATCAGATGGCTTGGACTCCTTCAGCAGACACTTTGAGAGCATTATGGAGTCGCACCGTGCCAAGGGCACCTCTTATAGCAGCCTGGATAGTGAAGACATCACCCCTAGTGGCCCACCTGTCTTCACTTTTGACTTTCCGACTCTCACTCCTGAGATCCAGAGTCAGATCAGTGAAAGTGCCAAGCAGATAATCGAACTGAACTTCTCTCCTCTAACGTGCCCCGAACCACCTGCTGTGTCTGATCCCACAGAGTGTGAGGCCTCCCAGGACCTGCACAGGGAGGACCAGAGTGGTGTCTGTGAAGAAGAGAGTCCATTCTGCAGTGGATCCTGCTCTGATCAAGCCTGCAGGCCTGATTCAGACACAGATGCTTCCATAAGGTTAGTATCGGTCTGGTGATATTTTCCATGAGTTGTCATAAATATCTCATCATCACTGCATGTCAACAAATATGCTAGTGTAATGTAAACACCCCCCAAACCCCCCTGGTGAAATAAACACTTGGAAGAATAATAGTATTTACACACATTAGAAGAGGAACAGCTGGCAGTGCAGACACACACACTAAGACAAACTCATTCCTGTCCTCATCATAGTACGACATCAAGCTGTAGTTGCTCTCAAAATGCAAACAGATGTTTTGATGACAGATGGTACCCACAACTCTATGTAATTTGCTCATTTTTACATATTTTAGTAACCAGTTGTTCAGTGAAAATGGATTTAATGGGCTTTCTATTTTAAAGGGATAGTTCACCCAAAAATGAAAATTCTGTCATTAATTTGGGTTTAGAAAAAGAATTAACGGTTGAGTATTTACCACTAGAGGGCAGAGCCGAGCTTTGTGATTTTACTGAGATACCAGCTCACTTTGTTTTCTGGATGATCTGTTTTGACTTGGAATGAGCTCCAAATAGATTTTCTTTCAGCAATGCCCTTGATGAATGTAGTGTGAACTTTTTTTTTCTCATTCATTTTTTTAGGGCTTGCTTCAAATCATCCTCAGATAAATAGAACTGTACGTAGCAAGCAGTCATATAAGGATAAAGTTCCTAACTAAATAAGTTTTCCTTGGGTAGGCCTAAACACAGATTTGTGTTTAGGCCTATAATATCTTGCTACTCCTTCACTATCAGAATAAATCAGAGTGCACTTCTGAGTCCATCAGCATTCTTGTTTTCTAATAAAAAACTAAGCCTCCTTAAAAACAATGAATTTAAAAAGTTTAAATTTATTCCAAAATAAAATTGAACTTGCTGTATAATTCTTAAATTGAATATTTTTCTTGCATTTTTTCATCAGCAAATTGTTTTTTCTTGTTCTGTATGCAAAATGAATTTAGATTTATGTTTAACAACTTATAGAAAACGGTAGAAAATATATGCATTTGACCTTTTGGAAACATGGTAAGAATTGTGCAACAACAGCAGTGTTTCACAGGGTTATGTAACTTTTAGACTGGCATTTTAATGTGGCATAAGGTTTTCAAGTCCCCTACAATAAGGAACATTGTCTGGATATTTTATCTGAGGTTTACTGTGGTTATTAAGAGGGCCTGAAAGCCGACACTGTATGCTTTGATACCAGGGCCAGATAGACCTGGAGCTTTGCCAGGCACACTCGGTCTCCATAGTGAGAGCAGATTAACTTGTCGTGTGATTTCAGGGTTTTAAATAGAGTGAGTTGGAAACTATTACTGTTTCAGCAGGGCTGTATCTGACCATTATTTTATTTAAATGGCCACTAATAGTGAAGAAACACAATCCATTATTCTAACACACGATCTTATAGATTGATACATATTAATAATTTGTTAATGAGACTGACTGTGTATTCAGCACCATGTTGAAATGGAGATTGACAAAGTCTAATGGGAGGGACGAAAGTAACAAGGCAAGACAAAGAGAGGAAGAGAGGGTTGGAAAGAGGGGAAAAGGGGGAGTAAACTGTTGTGAAAGGAAATACAGAGCATATCCACCAGCGAAAAATAGCTCAGCTGACAAGAGAGGAACACGCATTCACATCCACAATCACGCACAAACAGGCAAGCGTAAGGCGGGAGCTGGTGGGGCGAGAAAGAACGAGAGAAAATAAAACAGATGAACAGCTGTATCAATCCTCTGACTACGCTATAGGCACAAAAAGAGCTTGTGAAAGTTTGGAGTAGGATAAGAGAATCAGCAACACAGCGACTAAAAGACTTTAATGACAGTTCAAGGGACTTGCAAAAGCAGAGGGTCAGATTTCTTCTAAACCTCCTCAGGCTAGTTCTGGACAAAAGGAGGTTCAGGGGAGGGTAGAAAATGTGGAGGGCTGGATGCTGGGTTTATAAGTGAGCTCCTGTCATCTGGCTATGTAAGGTATGAAGGGGCAGGGCTAAGGTGATGGCTCATTATGTGCTCTGCTGGGGGGGTGGGGCCTTGGAGGATAATTACATGTATGCCCCCCACCCTGCCATATACCGGTGAGTAGGAAAATGTAGACTTCTTTTGAACATTTTGTTTGTATCAGTGTTGTTATAGTATCAGTGAGATACTATTATAGTTTTTATGAATGATTTTTTTTTTGCATTTTAATTTAACTTTTAAAGTTTTACTGATTTTTATTAGCAATTTTATTAATTATTTATTTTATTATTGTCATTATTCAAATGTATGTGTAGTGTTTATTTTTTATTCTTTCCTTTTTTTTCAGTTTTAGCTATCTAATCTCATTTGCTAAATAGTGTTTGATGAATAACTGAGGCAATTCACAGTTTATCACACTATTAAAATGCAGTATTTAAAAGCACTTCAAGGATTTTATGAAGACCATTATGGTCTCAATTTAACAGCCAGGGTCTGAATTAAGTTGAGGTTTGGGTGGTCTGACTCCTCTAATTCAAATTTGTTGTCAAAACGACTTTTACATATAAGTATATGTTTTAGTCAGGGTTTCAAATATTTTGGTAACAAAAAAGTTAGATTAGTTAGTTAGGTACCTGATGGTAAATAGATGCTCGCTACCAGAAATCGTGTTAGCCTGAGGATGTAACCATAGTAACGGTCGATTCCTTGTCGCTAGGATCATCATCTGACAGAGCATTGACAAAACATAAGCACTATCACTTCATTGCTGATTAAAATATTACAAAGATATCACAATCATATTTATCTTGCGTTACGCAAGACCAACCTCAACACACTGTGAAAGTTCCTCCTTACAATTTCTTTAAAAACATCAACTCACTGAAAGCCACTGTATAGTTTGTGCACTGTTGTTATAGTCACTTTTCCAATATGTGTTTTCATTACCAGTCAAGACCTAAAATTCTAGTGCAACTCATTGTCAGTGCAAGGTATCATATCCTCGGCATGTGATACTGACATCATTGTCTGTCTAAGCTATCTAGTCATGCAAAAAAAATGTTAAATGATGCATTCGTTTTCCTCCTTTGATATGTAAATCTTGTCATCCATCGTTAAAAAGAGGTGTGTTAAAAAAATTTCAAAAAGCACTGGAATGTTGTAGAGCCTCAGCACATATGAGGTGATTGTTTACATTTACCTCCCTGCATTTATTTGTGCAATGCAGAAATATGTATTGCCATTTGTAACAATCATTGTCTTGCATTTTTCCCCCGTTAAGTTGCCCTCACCAAATAAGTTATTCAAACACAGGTGTCTAATTATATGATGTCTGACATAAAAAAACAAGATTTAGCAAAGGTATGTCTGTTAGTCACTGTGCATCTTTGTAGAAGCTCTTCTCACATCCTAGAAGCCGTGGCGGAAAAGCTCTCTATATTTCTTCCTGGTTTTCTCTGCCATGTTTCTATCTGTCCATTGTTTGAAGAAGAAACAGTCTGCCCTCATACCCTTTCTTCGAGTCTCCTCCCCTGCCTTGTTTGTGGACTATCCGGTTGGAGTAGTTTAGGAATGGAGAACTTCGGAGCAAACCAAAGACAGATGACAGGGGGATGATCTGCATGTGGCATGAACTTTCTGGTGCTCGTACATCTAAAAGACTTTGGAATGCAGTGGTTTAAAGGCAGAGTTGGGTCACTGAGGTAGAGTAGATGCTTTTTTTAAGCACTTTTTGGGGAGAGCTCCTCTTGTTTTGGTTTTACAGACCTTTTATGTGAAGTTTGTGGAGTTTTACGTTTTAGTTTTTGGTTCAAGACTGAATGAAATGTGTTTAGTATATATATTTGACACTTTTAATATAAGTTAAACTTCTTTCTGTTCTCTCATTATTCACATGTGAATATCAGCTAAAAACCTTTATGTGTGTGTGTGTGTGTATGACAAGCTTTTGTGCATTTGAATGGTGTACAAAGGGCAAATGTATTATGCGCTCACAATAGTTTGTCAGGGGTGCTTTTTTTAGTTGTTAAATGCTAGTTTCTCTGTAAATGGTGTATTGAATTGATCTGCTGGGAAAGAGTCGGTAAAGGTAGATCAGATAGACTCTATTTACATCACACTGCTAGTGCTAAGAATGACAGGTTCAGACAATATTGATAGAAGATAAACAAATTTAACCTCATGATTTGACTGCTTTGATGAATAGTCAGTATTCATATATTCAGTATGGTTCTGTATGCTTATACTGTGTAGTTGTCCATGATGGCTGATTTTAAGCCCAAGCATATTTAGGTATCATATCTGGGTTGCCTTTTTTACAAGTAAAATGTATACCACTTTTACTTTTACTTGGTAATGTTATAACTCGTATTCAAATAAATGTGTGTCACCTGTCATGTAGATGTCATATACATTTATTTTTCCTCTGGTTTCAGAGAGAGGCCATCACGGCCGGTGTCTGAGTCCCATCCAGAGGTGGCTGAGCGATTGGCTGTGGGCAGCGCTGAAACTCTGGCCAATGGCAACAAATCTGACCTCCAAGCTGCAAAACGGTTGGCCAAACGTTTGTACAGTCTTGATGGATTTAAGAAGTCAGACGTGGCACGTCACCTGAGCAAGAAGTGAGGATCATTTTAACTATTAATAAATACTAAGAAGCTTGTGTTTGCATTTATTTTAGTTCATTCCTCTTGCTTTGTTTTTTGAGCTTTTGTGAAGCAAAGTTATCTTTGATTATAATAATAAATACCATGTTTTAGGGCAAATGTGGAGAAATATAAGGTGGGGACTGTGTTTTAAAAATGTAAATCTGCAAATAAATTTTTAGGGTTTTGAAAAAACTTTATAAGTTAAAAATGAATAATAAATATTAATAATTCTGCGCTGTTTTAGGGTCACTTATTTGTGAAAATGACCATGTGAACAACTTTGTATGAAAAGATTGAAAAGACTTTTGGACCCCCAATATGAGACCCAAAAAACCTTATTTTCTTATGCTTTTGTCTTTTCATGATTTGTGCAGCAATGATTTCAGTCACATCGTGGCGGAGGAGTATCTCAGTTATTTTAACTTCTCAGGGATGATGGTGGATCAAGCATTAAGGTGAGCTTGCTATTCCTTCCATGTTAAGTTAAGTAAACAGTTGCTCTCATTTCACGTGTCCAACAGGTTTATTCAAATTCTCAGTCTGTTTTTCCTGTTGTGTTATGTCGTGCTTGTTTCTTAGAATGTTTTTGAGAGAGTTTGCCTTGATGGGAGAGACACAAGAGAGGGAGCGAGTATTATCCCATTTCTCTAAAAAATACCTGCAGTGCAATCCGAACACTATACTAAATGAAGGTAAGTCACACCAGCATTGTGTGTGTGAATGAATGTGCATTTGTTGTGCATCTGATGTGTATTATAATATGACTAACACTAGGGGGTGCTCTTGCTCTGATTATGTGAGCTTATGAGAGCTCTGTACCTCTGTGTTTCAGACAGTGTTCATACACTGACTTGTGCCTTGATGCTGCTCAACACTGATCTGCATGGTCATGTGAGTTTGAGAAATGACATATCTGACGTTCTGATGTACCATAAACACATAACAAACAATAAATAAAAAAAATAATCTTAAACCATATTCAGGTTAAAATCCCAAGATCATTTTAACTTGGAAAACATACACTGATTCTTCATAAATTTATGGTTTAAACATACTTCATGAAAATTTGACTTATTATTATATTAAATATATTAAATGATTATTACTTGTGTAATATACAGTAAGCTATAAAGCATAAATACATTTTGTTTTGTTTTTGTTAGATTCTACAATGTGTTTTTGCTGTGCAGAATTTGACCTTCTAAAATGAATGCCAGTCACATCCCTGAAATGTTCATGTCTGTTTTGTGGAAAACAAAAAAATATTATATGACTGTTAAAAAACTATTATTATTACATGTACAAGATTCGAGTCTCTGTGAAGGGAGCTGGAACTGTGTTTTTAGGATGGATTTTATTCTCTGAGCTGTTCAGCACCCTGAGGGGATGAGGAGGAGTGTCGGTTTTACAGTTAGGAATAAAAATAGAAATTCATCCATAAATGTAATAGTAAAAACATTTCTCAAGGGGAAGCAAAATAATTTTTGCACAAAATATTAACACATTTACTGCCCACTGTGTACTTGGTATTTTAAGTGTTGTTGAGTGCACAGGAACTGTGAAATAGGTCAGCGCATCTGTGAATTTATATGCTATCGTCTCTCTCTCATTCAGAACATCGGGAAGAGGATGTCCTGCATGCAGTTCATTAGTAACCTGGAGGGGCTAAATGATGGCCAAAACTTCCCAAAAGATCTTCTCAAGGTTTGTAGGGTTTTCAAGCATTCACACACTGACCTCTTTTGCATATTGAATGATCCCATTAAGGTATAATTGTGTTCAAGCCATAGAAGACATTTACCTGCACCACAGCTAATGAAATATCCCTGTGTGTAATTAGCTTATTCTAAATAAATTAAGGCATGCACATTTTTGACCTGCTTTTCTCTTGAAAAAAGGCTCACTCTTGTTATTTAATATGATGCATTTTAGTAATTTTGGACAATTAATCAGCTCATTAATGTCATAGTAGAATAGTTTTAAATAGTTCAGTTTTTCACAAAATAATAAAAATGTTCATACACTACAAACTTCAAAAGTTTGGGATTGGTAAGATTTTTCAAATGTATTTGAAAGAAGTCTCTCATACTCACCAAGGCTGCATTTATTTGATTAAAAACAGTACATAATATGCTTTGATATACTCTGGGTTGATTAACCCAGAGTTGCTTTATTTAAATGTATAGAATCTGCAATGTTGTCAATCAATAATCATAATAATCTTATTCACATCTGAATATTCTTGTGCATGTAAAATAATTATCAGAATATTCTTGTGCATGTAAACGTCCATATAAAGGGCACCTTTTATTGTAGATATTTTTGGAGAAACCCTTCTGTATTTTGAAGTTGTTGTAGAACCTTTCTCACAGATCATAGCTACATAATGAAGTTTTGAGTTATAATGCTGCACTGAATACACGCTGTGCCTGAAATTATTGATTTATTGCCATTTTATTGTTTGCCATGTTTGAAGTTGAGTGTTGTGACTAAAATCAGTCATGTGGGGGATTTCTGTCGCAGCTGATGTCAACGAACTTCCTGTGCGCCCCCAATGTGCTAGCACTGAGGCTTTGTCTATTTTAGTCCCTTCTCTCGGATTACAGGCCACGCTGCACAAGAATAATAGTCACATGATGACCGCACCTGAACCACTCTGCTTTAAAATTACAGGGAGCCTTTCAAACGTTCGGTCCTCCCACTCTCTCTCTCTCTCTCTCCTCTGGCCATCTCTCTCTCTCCTCTGGCCATCTCTCTCTCTCTCTGTGTCGCTCATCCCTCGTTCTCTCCTCTGCCCTCTCACTCTGTGCCTCGCACTATTCCATCACCTCCCACCCCCTCTCTCTCTTCACAGTTTTTCAGCACCTCTCTCTCTTGGCCATCTCTCTCTCTCTCTGTGTCGCTCATCCCTCGTTCTCTCCTCTGCCCTCTCACTCTGTGCCTCGCACTATTCCATCACCTCCCACCCCCTCTCTCTCTTCACAGTTTTTCAGCACTCTCTCTCTCTCTAGCCATTTAACTATCTGCCATCTTGCTCTTTGTTTCACCCTATAATCTGCAAAAACTTACTCTGCTGAACTGTACTTAGCCCTGTCTGTCTAGGTTATTTCTATATCTATATAATCCTCCTTATCTCAGGCTTTGGCTGACGAATGGCATCCTTCCTCTCTCTTCTCAGCCCTGGCCTTCTTTCTCCCGGTTTCTCTCCTCCTACCTCTATGTGAGGGTGTGAAGGCCACACAGTTGCCTCATAAAGACAGTTAGTCTGTCTAACTAGGCTCTGGGAGTGCAGCGTTTAGCTACTTGGATATTTCTTCCCATAATTTTAGACTCTTTTTCATCTCTGTCTGCCTGATATTACAACAAGTCTTAGGGTTAAATATAGAGATGGCAACTGAGAGAGACGTCTGTGAGCCAACAGGTTAGGCTCTCAGTGCCTGTGTGGTTCATGACAGTTAACGGCCGTGAAAAACCTGTGTGAAGTCTGTCTTCATGCCAGCAACAGCAGGGGTGGCAGGGAGGACAGATGGGAATTTGGCTGCCACACGGCCTCTCACTGAAATGAGGGTTTTGTCATGGCATTATCATAAATGCGTTACAAATTGCTCATTCTCTCTCTCCTTTCCCTCTTTCTCTATTTTGTTCCCTCTTTTTCAGTTTGCAAATTATGGTTCTGTTCTTTCACTCAGTTGTGTGAACAGCATAATTCCTTTGTTATCTCTCAGTATGTGCATGTGCATCATTGCATTATGTATTATGCTCCTCCTACTGGTCACTACACAACTTACAGCTTCAAACTGAGAGATGCTGTTTTGACGATTGATTTTTACATATCTGGTAACACTTCAATAAGGTTCAATTCTTTAACATTAGTTCATGCGTTAGGTATCATGAACTAACAATAAAGCAAAATGCATTTATTGATCTTGCTTAATGCTCATTTATAAATATTTTGTTGTTCATTGTTTAATCATGTTTGTTCATAATACACTAATAACTAATGTTAATTTTTACAACTTAAAATGTTAAAAATATTATTAGTATACACTTTCATTCAAAAAAGTTTGAGTTTGTAAGATTTTTACATGTTTTTGAAAGAAGTCTCTTTTGCTCACCAAGGCTGCATTTATTTGATCAAAATGCAGTAAAACTGTACTATTGTGAAATATTTTCTAATATTTTATTTTCTCTTTTAATATATTTAAAAATGTAATTTTTTCTTCTGATGGCAAAGCTAAATTGGTGCTCAAGAAACAATTATTGTAATTTTCGATGTAGAAAACAGTTGTACTGCTTAAAGGAACACTCCACTATTTTTGAAAATAGGCTCATTTTCCAACTCCCATAGAGTTAAACAGTTGAGTTTTCGAATCCATTCAGCCGATCTCCGGGTCTGGCGGTAGCACTTTTAGCTGCAGCTTAGCATAGATCATTGAATCTGATTAGACCGTTAGAATCTCGTTAGCACCTGAAAATAGTCCCCAGCACGCTCCCTGTGCAAGCAGTTATGTTGATGGAAGTTAGCCTATTTACGCTGCGTAATGTCATTGCACCTGCCCATGGTACGGCAGCAAAGTTCCTTTATTATTATGCCGGAATGAGAGTATAGTTCCTAGCCATATCAGTCTAGAAAATCGCAACTTTTCATTTTCCGTCGGTCTCAGTGAGCAGAGTGCCAAAAGAAACCGCACCAGCCAAATTAATTCACTGCTACAGTAATATCCCCAGTGACTTGTTATATTGCGTAATTCGTATTGATAACATAAGTTGACTGTTCATTGGCTGCTCCCATGTGTGAACTGTCCAATTATATTTTGTAACTCATTTGGCAAATGGATAAAGCATTTGGCTGATGGATATAAAAAAAAGCAATTTGTACAAGCTTTATGCAATAATTGTAAAAATTTAGAGTATGTTTTACAAGAAAGTTTCAGTCTTTCTACTTCAAAATTTCACGTTTAATTCAGCACATTATTTGTCAATTCTTTAAAACAATTCTTTTTTACTCAAAAATGGCTAGTAAATTTTACAAATAATTACAAAGAAGTTATTTTTTTTCAGTGACATGTTGCATTTAAAATGATTTATCAATTATTTATTGTGACATTTAATGAAATTTTTTAATAGTTTAAATAAACATTTTAAATCAGTCTGTTTATCATTTTGAAAAGTTACTGATTTATTTACATTTTTTAATTAATACATTAATACATATTTTCTTTTCTTTTTTTTGTTCTAGCCTATACAATAAAGCCAATATCAAATAACTCGAGGGTTAATACTGATTTTGAGTGCCAGCATACTCAGTTATCATAATTAACATGATCATAATTAGAGCAACAGGTTTATTGCTTATTTATTATCGTTATAGATTACAACAGACCGTTTCTACATAATGTGCACTGAAAATGAGAGTATGGCAGTAATGTGATGTGAGGATTTGCACGTTCGAGAGCCCTGAAAACTGATTGACATTCACAGGAGGGTGGGATCATCGAACATTCAAGTGCTGTGATTTGTCAGTCATGCTGGGAGACGGGTACATCAATTGAGAAGCAGAGCGTGAGAGAGACCGTGAAAGAGATCTGGCGAGATTGTGAATGCAAGAGAGAGATGGGAGGGTGAACACTCCTCCCTCACAAGATCTCATTCTCACCGCACAGCCCATTTTTTATCTGCATCACGGAGGAGGAAAAAGACTGTGAGGAGAAGAAGGAAAAGAGCGCAGGACTCAGACGCCAAACCTCTATTGTTCCTACAGCTATGCTGCAGAGCTGTGTTTTGTGGAAGGGAAAAAATCAGGTGTGAAAGAATCTGCCAATTGGATAGCGGGTGTGAGGATACAAGCTTGAAGAGAAAGAAAGGGATGAAAGAGAATTCTGGAAAACTTCTAATACATTCAAGCGTCTGACTTGGAATAGAGAAAACTGCACAAAGCAACAGGATTGTCTTTTTTCTTTGCTGATTTCCTGCTCCAGTCTGGTCCTTCTGTCTCTCACACATCTGATGTCTATTTTTCCGTCCCGGAGGGGAACGTTAGGTGACGTCACAGTTTTGGGATGCCAGTTTGAGAGTGGGTGAAAGTCAGACCCTCTCAGTCTGTTCCCTGCATGATCCCATGTGTGTTTATCTCATGCATTTACTTCAATGATGTTCGCATTCATCCGTCTGTCCTCTTCTCCAATTATCTCCATCCACCATCACGGTCCTCTGCACTGCACCTGTGAGCGTGTCAGCATGCGTTGGTGAATGTGTGTAGGTGTGATGAACTCGAGGATGTATACAAGGAAACAACTGGATGTTGGTCGCGGATCCTCATCCTTGATCGTCTTTGGTGTTTCAGTCAAAGCAGAAAGTTTGATGCAAAATGGCGCTGGTGGATTTGCAGTGGCCCGGTGATGTTTTTACATGCATAATGAATAGGAATGGATCCATAATGCAAGAGTTGGAATCACTACGGAAGGCCTGATGCCCATGTGACACCTTCAAGGATCTCCCAAAGAGCTTCGCCACTGCCAAAGACTTTGAGTTTGCCACTGTGTCATTTGATGTGCTCTTTGAACTCATTTCTACTGATTACACCCAGCACTCTGGATTCTACTCGTGGAAAAAAGACATCAAGTGAATGAAGACTCCGTCAAGTTTAATTTAACATTGTTTGATTTTAAAGCCTTCATTTCCTCATCTGTGGATCCTGTATCTTGAAAAATCATGATTGGTGTAAACAGTATTCACTCCACTGGTCGTCTCCGCTCTCGCTCCCTGTGCTCGGTGCGATGTGGACGGGACTTCAGCGTGATGGACCCGTTCCGTTACACCAAAGCACCTCGCTCGCGTTCCTTAAAGCCCCTGGCCTTCCCTGATCTGCTCGGCAAGGTTCAGGATGGCCAAAATCACCCACAAACCCGGAAGAAAAAACAAAAGGTAGCACTTGTTAACTACAGGATCTGACCTTGGAAATTTAGATCTCTATTTTCCTTCTGCCTTTTAATGATGGTTGGGCTGTTTTTCCATGATGTTTGAACTAAAATGCTCCATGAGAAAAGTGTAGTCTGCAACCTGTTTCTGGTTCATGGTTATTGTTAACTTTCAGTTGCTATTTTTAGACACGTCAGTGGGATGTTTGAGCGCACACAAATATACACGCAAAGGGCAAAACTATTGATGGGGTTGTGTGCTTTAACACTGTTGTTTTCCTCTTTTAACAGGCTCTCTACAACTCTATCAAAAATGAAAAGCTGCAGTGGACAATGTAAGTCTAATGTTTTCTCTAGTGGCTCCTTTTCACTACATCAGATTCGAGCGCACCATCCTCCTCATCCAGTTTCATCTAAAACATTTGAAAATAATTCAATGCCTCTAGAAGTGTTACTGATTTAAAAATTATGCAAGCTCATTATAGAGAATCCTTTAGCTGAAAAGGCCTTTCATTTCTTCAGTGAGATGTGCTTATTAGGTGCACTTTTAGGAAAAAAAAAAAATATATATATATTTTTTACATAGGTTCTTTACTTGAATCCAAAAAACTCTACTTAAAAATGTTCTGTAAAAAAATAACCTTTTTGATATTAAAGATAAAAATGAAAGGATTCTTTAGGATCTTTTAAATAATACTTTTAATTAATAATAATTTTTAATTAATTTTTTTATTTTTTTGCCATGTTTTTTTTTTTTTTTTGTTTCTTCTAATGACAAAGTCTCTATTTATACAAACTGTTTAATCCAAATATCACTGAAATGTTAAAGCAAACCAAATCCATAAATTATGATGACCTTTGCAAGTCTTAAAAGGGTTCTGTTTTTATTTAGAACCTTTTCACCAGGCTACAACGAATCCAGCAGGGCTCTTTTGATTAAGCCCTTTTAAGGAATCTTTTAGGGGTTCCAAAAATAAAGAGTAAACCCTTTAAGGTTATATATAGAACCATACACTCTTAAAAATAAAGGTTCTTTATTGGCACTGATGGTTCCATGAAGAAGCTTTAACATCCATGGAACCTTTTCATCGCACAAAAGGTCCTTCATAGTGGAAAAAAGTTCTTTATATTATTAAAAGGTTCTTAACACTAAAAAAATTGGTTCTTTTAAGAACTGTTCACTGAAAGGTTCTTTGGGGAGCCTAAAATGGTTCCTCTATGGTATCGTTGCAAACCCCCCCCCTTTTGGAACCTTTTTTTTTTAAGAGTGTATGTACAGGTACTACAGTATATGTGTGCCTTTATGACCTGGCCAGAGCTGTATGATGCTCTAAGCCCTTACTTTGGCTTTCCAGATTTTGTTGCCATGGTTACCGCAAGTTGCCTCTCCATAATTACAGGTTGAAATCTTTGACTGGCTAATGTGCAGACTTAAACACAGCCGTCTCTTACACACACATACCTGCTCTCATGTAAACTGTGTTCGTTCCTTGAGGGGTTTTGCAGTACCCTTGTTTATGTGTGAAGGAGAAAAGCACGAGTGATTGTTTTTTATTCTCTTTCATTCAGCAGCAGTTCTTTCATCTTCATCCATCCCAGCGTCCCTACGCTCTACCCCTCCACTCTTTTAGTCTCTCTGTTTCGCACTCCCTCCATTTCTGAGTTTGATTCACTTCATTGCACTTTCATTTATTTAGCATTGTGTGATTCTCAGCTAAAGGCCATCGTTCACTGTATGAATCAATGCACGTCAGTCACCATTATGTGCCTGCTCTTTCTACCTCCCTCTCCTCTCTCTCTCCCTCTCTCATGGTGCTCCATCTACTGAGCTGACTCTCTTGGTTACTAATGTGGAGGCCAGCAGTAACTAAGCAACAGATGAGAGCATTATCATGTGAAGGCAAAGGCTATGTGCTGTACTCCGTAGCAGTTAGAGAGAAATGTTTAGCGCTCCAGACCTCAGGGGCTCTCCAGGGTGTCTGACTGCACTCCCTGCACAGTTGTCACTCAGCTGGAAATATGTACTGTAGATAAAATACAACTGTGCTAAGCACTAGGCAATAAAGATGCAGTTTCAGTCCTTATCAGTAACTCTAAATGCACAATAAAATGCCTGTAGTTGAGGTGGGATGGTGCTTTATGTTACCTCACTTCCTGAATCATTACCTATATAAGTCAAATGCTAAAACAGCAATTAAAGGGGTCATGAAATGAGAAATCAAAATTCCCTTGATCTTTTGACATATAAGAGGTCATTGTACTATAAAAACATCCTGTAAGTTTCAGAACTCAAAACTTTTTCGTTAGTCTTTAAACAGCTTATATTGAAGCCAATCTGCCAAAACGACAGGTTGTGGAATGTGCCACTTTATGACATAATAGAGTGGGTAAACCCCGCCTACGCAGGAGAAGATCAACACCTGCTTCTACATCACTGCCTGTTTAGCTCCGCCCACCGATTCACGCATGTAGTGTAAATAACGAGAGAGGCAAACGCAGGTCTATGCAGAAATCAAACGATAAAGATGACTCAGATGACAGCAAGACGCTGTGCAGATCCAGATCGCGTCAGTAAGAACTCGGTCCTTTGTTCACTTCATTTTACCGCGGATTCGTTTACAAACAAGGCACGATTCGACGCAGGATTTTCAGAAAGATCGAAACTAAAAGACGATGCTGTGCCAAATATATTGGATCCGACAGTAATGTCGCACCCGCTGATCTATATAATGACAACTGTTAGCCAGTCATAGCAGTGGGCATTTACTTCTGAGTCTACAATCCGCCACACCTATTCAAACAGAGTGTTCCGTTGAGGGGGGTCAAAACAGGACTGAAAATAGCCTGTCACTTCTAAACTTTGATGTAAAAATCTTGATAACATTATAAGTGAACCTCAGAGAACAGTACAAAATTAGTGCTGTCAAAATTAGCGTTAACGCAGGCGATAAATTTTGCGGTCACACTAGACTTTCCGTTCCATTGACTTCCATCCATAAGCATGCGAATGCGGCAGACCGGTGTTGTGCCGAATTCTGCACCCCTGCCAGATTATGCATCCCTTCGTTGAAATCGCTATCTGATTGCCTAATCCCAAATGGGCTATGGTTAGGGGTAAGGGTAGGGGTAGGGTTAGGTTAGGGTTTGGTCAAATAATGTCATATTTGCATTAAAAATGACATAACTGAGCGAATGACACTTAATGACAGTTGTCATAAACATGCATAAAACCTCCTTCATATTCATGACATGTGTCATGTCATGATTATGAAGGTGTCATGTCAGTCTTATGCACACCCCTTCAAGTAAAGTGTTACCAATAATAAAAAAAAAAAAGGCAGTTCATGCAGGGACAGATCTAGAATTTTTTTTTAGGGTGGCAAGGGGGTGGCTTGAGGACTGTGAGGGGTGGCAACACCAAAGCAAACAACATTCAATCATCTATACATAATCTATAGTATATAATCTATACAACAACTATACTATAATTAAAAACAAATTATGACCGCAAGCAGCAATCATCGGGTTCCAAGCACCAATGGCCCATGTGCATGATTAGCGATCTAACTGAAACTTATCTCATAATGAGTTTTTTACAGGAAAGTTTAACTTGAATCTTAACTTAGGGTTTGATGAAACCGGTTACAGCAAAACACGAGTCAAAAAGGGCAACCGACTTTCAAAAGAAATCACTCCCTCTTACTGTTTAAAGGAGAGGTCAAAAATACTCCTCTAAAATGTTTACTGTCATAAGGTATGTTATCATAATATATTTAGTAAGTATGAACTTATATTCAACATTTAGACTAATCGCATGTTCATCCATTTCAAATAAATGTGAAGATATCATTTGCAGCTCAAAACTTAAGCATTTTTCTCAAGGCTCTTTTATCATTTATTTCTATAATTATGTGTAGCCATAACTTATGCTTGCAGTTTAAGTGTTTGTTTTATTATTCAAACCACAATAGTAAATAAGTGTCTTTATAGAAATGTTATAATATTATCTTGGAAGAGACCAATAAAATGGTCTCTTCATTTTAAATGGATAGCAATATATTTCATATTTCATCATGTCTGGCAACTTGAAAATATGTTTTATTGGGTCTATAAAAATTAACTAAAGATTTAAAAAATCTATAAGAATTTTACAGATTTCAATGTACAGTAATTATATAAAACTATACTGTCAGTACACCGTACTTATACAAATGAACTAAATCTATGAACTTATTTAACTTGATAATGGCTGTTTTGAATTTGCAATTACGATCATAAACTCAAAAATTAGAGATCCAATTCACCTTTAGTACACCTTTAGGACCCCTAATAACAAAATATTAATATCCAGGTAAACAAGACACTGTCTATTAAACACTCAACACAATCTAAATGTCTCTAAGCTCATTAGAGTAGGTCTACCATAATAAAGAAGAGTTTATTTGTGTAGGCTATGATATATAAATCACAAGTTTTAGTGCGTCAAGTTTAAGAGCAAGGAAAACGTTCAAATTTTCTAGAAAGAACGGTCAAAATATCAAAGCACTGAGAATGTCTGTGTTAATTATGGGAGGACACCCAGAACACTCAAACAACCACATAGCAACCACCTAGCAGCACTTGAGTAGCAACCCAAAACACCCAACTATCTGTTTGTCTGTGTATCCTAACCTGCAAACTATTCTACATTTTAGGAAAAAGACCTTGTCAAGCCAACATAAAGATTTTCTTTCAAAAACGTCATAGTTAAGATTAGATTTTTTACCTAGCTCTGCTATTAGTTTCCGTGATCTGGATCTTCTTATTGCTTTCATTTCATTTTGTCGGATGTCAAATATATCCAGTGTTGGGGAAAGTTACTTTTAAAAGTAATGCATTACAATATTGCGTTACTCCATAAAAAAGTAACTAATTACGTTACTTAGTTACTTTTTCTATGATGAAAGTGGAGCGGGCAGTCTGACAAATAGTCACGGTACACGACACAAGTCAAAATAAACGATGAGAAGAGTTTCGGAAAATAATATTATATAATATAAGCTGTACATAATGGAAAATCAGTCCATTTGTTTGTGAATTGGGCTACAACAAAAAGAAGCCGAAATGAAGTTGACTACACAGCACGAGAAGCCGTGCAGCAGCGGTGTTTTCTTGCCATTTTTTCGTGGTACTTCTTTTTGTATATCATCACAATAAAGTGCAGCTGCTAAAATGGTAAAAAGCTGTTGCTAAGAAAAAAAAAATGCTTACATTTATATTTTATACTGGGATAAATCTGAGGTGGCAGATGGGGTGGCAATGCTTTTTCTTAGGATGCCAGTAGATCCCCCTGAGTTCATGACCCCTTTAAAGATAAATGTTGGAAGTCAGGGATTTTTGCATTAGTATGTAAAATACCTTGTGGGTAAAGGTGAGAATGCAGAGTACTGTTCATAATAAAGCTCTTGTTTGTGTATTCTACAGCGATGAGGAGGAACTGCGGAAGTCTTTCTCTGAGCTGGACGGCAGGAAAGACTCCACATCACACACTATGAAGCGGATCAACAGTGGTGGAAACCCCCTCATCAGTGTTGCACAGCAGTCCAGCGCTCAGGTCTACATGAATGGCTTTCTCGTGCGGAAAGTTCACGCTGATCCTGATGGCAAGAAAAGTAAGCCATCCCTCAAATACAGCCTTTTAGTTGATTTAGTAATGTTTCATGTATTTAATACAGCCTTTTTTAAAAAATAATTTCAGTTTAGAAAATGAAAGAAGAAAATTCTTGTTTTGTTTTGCAGTAAAAAATATCAAACACCTATATAAAATGATCTAAATACTGTATCTCAAAACAACATGCATTTAAATAAGAAGCAATTAATTATAGACAAAATAATTTTTTAATAATAATATTTTTTACTATTATTTTTATGTATATTTTTTTAATATAATATTTTATAAAAGAAGTTTCTTTTGTTGTTGTTTTAATAAATCTTAAAACAAGATATTTGTCAATGGGTAAGAAAATAAATAAGATTTTTCTCCTAAAACAAGTATTATCTCACAGAGTTTTGCTAATTTAGTAAATGTATCTTGCTTTCTGTATTATGATTTTCACTGTATTTTTATAAATATGATTATCTAGTTATAGAATATTTAACTTTACTATTAAACAACCTTAACTGTTTTAAGTTTTACTGTTTGTTGTTGTTTTAGCTCCACGAGGTAAAAGAGGATGGAAGACATTTTATGCTATCCTAAAAGGACTGATTCTCTACCTGCAAAAGGTACATTTTAGTCATAAATGTTTTATACTATATGGACCATACTTTCTTGTGGTTGCTGTACAGGTATTTACTGTAAAAAAAACAAAAAAAAAAACAATGTGTGATTTGCCTCTTACTTTGCCATTGGTCTGCAGGATGAATACCGTCCGGATAAGCAGCTGTCTGATGAGGACTTGAAGAATGCAGTATCAATCCATCATTCTTTAGCCATGCGGGCAGCAGACTATAGCAAGCGACCCAATGTGTTTTATCTTCGCACTGCTGACTGGAGGGTCTTTCTTTTCCAGGCCCCGTAAGTTGTTGTCTTATCTGTACTATAAGGGTGATTCACTTCAAAATCAGAAACAATTTTACATCTTTAAGCTTTTTTTAATACCATTAAGGTTTTTTGAAAATCAAGCATTTTTTAACCCCTTTCCCCAATTCTCAGTAGCCTACTGTAATGCCAAAATTCAGCATTGCCATCACAGGAATAAATGACCGTTTCAACTATATTAAATAGAAAATGGTTCTTTTAAATTGTAATAATATTTCACATTATTACTGTTTTTACTGGATTTTTGATTAAATACGAGAAAAATAAGAGAAACATAAAAATATTGTACCGACCCTAAACATTTCATGAAAGGATGAAATAAAATCCGTTTTTAGCCATTTATAGAACTTTTTGCAACTTTTGCATAACTTGGACACTTTGTCACTTTGATAACAACTTTTGATAACAAGAAGACTTAGTCAGCAGAAGCCTCATGTTGCTTTGTCTTTTGGAAACAGGACAGCACAAAAATACACAATGACTTTCTTTCAAACACACACACACACACACCTGAGTGCACCAGCTGGTTGTTGACTACATGCAGGGCTGGTAACACCCTCGTCAAAATGTTCTCATCTCAGATGAATGACTCAACGTGTATCTCCCAAGAGGATGGATCCTTCTCAGCTATTCTGTCTGTCCCAGATACACATACTAAAACTCTCTGCCTTTCATTCTGCTCCATCTCTTCTGCTAACAGCTGCCTGCTAATTGTTCAGTTTTCCAGGCTGTGTTAGTTGTATTGAACACTCAGTGCACAGTTTCTTTGAGCAGGGAAAAATGAGACATTCTTTGTTCCATCTACTGAATTCTTTTATTTTGCTGCCCTCTGTTTGACCTGTGCTTGCATTTCACCACTAGCAACGCAGAGCAAATGCAGTCCTGGATAACCCGCATCAACACGGTGGCAGCCATGTTCTCTGCCCCTCCCTTCCCAGCAGCCATTGGCTCCCAAAAAAAGTTCAGCCGCCCTCTTCTGCCAGGTTCAAACACCAAGCTCCCACAGGTAATCAACACTTTTCATTCCGGTCACATGCATGTGAATGCCGGAGACCAGTATTGCAAGCTCATGTGAAGAAGTTAAAAAAATTTAAAACATGAGCAAATTTCTTTGCAAATCTCTTTGCAAATCTCTTGGCATTCATGTTGGATTTAAGTTTGAGAAACTTTTATAACATTTTCAACACAAGTTTAATCTGAATGACTTTAAATACATGTGAATGTTCATTATTTTCATAAACATTTTAAATAGATTTTTCAAGGTTAAAAGTTTTTTTTAACAAATATCATGAATGATCAATTCATAATAATAATACATGTCATTGTTTTTGAGTGGTGGTACCATATGAAATTTTACCTGAACTAATCTTACCTGATATCTATTTTAAGAAACATATTAACCTTGACACACAGTCTCACGGGTCTTCTCTATTATGTCATTTCCTGTTTTATGTTTTATTTTTCTGAAATATTTTTGCACATTGGTTCACCACGAGTTTGATTTGCTGAACAAATGTTTTAAAAATATTCATATTTTTACAAAGCTGCTTTACTGCATAATTATTTTTCCTTTTTAACAATATATTTAGTGACATTTTAGCAAATTACAAATGAACAAAGAACAATCATCCTCAAATGAGGCTTTTTCGTCATTGATAGATGACAGTAACTGACAGTTAAAACTTTTTAAAAAATATATTTATTGACTTTTTAACAAATTACAAAAAAAAAAAAATTCTTAAATGAGGCTTTTTTTCTTCATTATAATACTAGGAGGAGCAGCTTAAGTCTCACGAGACACGGTTTCGAGCCATTTCTGCTGAGCTCCAGGAACTACGCTCTATGCCCCAAGACCGCAAGACCAAAAGCAGGGACCAAGAAGAGTACAAGCAAAGGGAAGAGTATCTGGACTTTGAGGTAAAAAAAAACATTTTCACTACACTCTTCTTTCACACTTCACTCCATTTATATACATCTTCCTAAATGTATCTTGTAGAAAACACGCTACGGAACATATGCAATGCTGCTGAGAGCTAAGATCCGCATAGGGGAAACGGACCTGGAGGCATTTGAGGCCCGTTTGTTTGACGACGGCGGCCTGCAGAGGGCCCACTCCAGCCCCACGTTACCCCAGGACAACAGCCATGCCAGCAGCACCAAAGAGTCGAGCAGGAGCAGCGGCAGCATGAGGACCAAACGCTCAGACGGTCAGAGACACAGCTACAGACAGGCTGTCAAACAGTGACAGAACCCAAGCGGAAGGGGTTGTTTATCTCGATTCAGGGGCTGAATATATAGAGCGTTACCAGGATGGCTGCAGTTTACTTTGATGACTGCTCTCAAGTCGTCATGATTATGAAACTGTGATTGGGGTTGCTGTGCCCCACGTGACCGCTGGTAAAGCATGCTTTTCTGGCCAGTAACCGCAAGCCCATATCTGCCAGCGGGCAGATGAGAAGGAGCACCAGCCTCACATTGTCTTATTTCTGTCAGTCTGTGTTTTTACCACAAACCTGTTCGGTTTATCTGTCTATTATGCTTGTTGATCGTCAGTTTAAACACTCATGGCTTTTCAAGCTGAAGTGCAAACTTCATTTGGTGGCCCTGGGAGCGGCAGCCATATGAGAAGCGAACCTCTTTATTGTGTGAACATATACTGTTCACTATATATTTAAAGCATTGTAGATTTTGCTTTTAAGACTATCATTTCATAATTTGAGGTCGATCAAGTGCTTTAACTCCTCATGAGAAGTTCGAGAACTTAGCCTTTATAGTCCTTTAAACCTTCTTAAAGCACGTCTCAAAGCATGCCTAAGATGTTTGAAGACAATCAGTTCCTCATTTGGTACAATTACTAAGAAAATGAATGCATTATTTTTCTTTTTACCATGACAACTGACTAGTGATAATGACAAATGTGCAAATAGCACATTCCTTGTGAAAAATAGGTGCGCTTAATTGTATTGTATGAATGTGCACTTGTAGTACTTCAAATCTTAAAAGTATACTTTTAAGAAACTGTACTTGAGGATAATATAATATTAATGAAATTAAGGCCACTTATGTGGACTTTGACTTGTTTTGTAACACACTTTGTAATGATGTCAGTTATTTTAAAGTACATTTTAAATCATTTCGTTTTAATAATCGCTTTAAAGTAGTACACATATTTTGATGTGTTGACTAACATAGTAAAGCACATGTAAAGTACTGGATTGAAATTTTAACTGTGGTGTTTTATTTGATATTACATTTAAGATATTTATATTTTAAATTTACTAAATTGCAACTTTATTACAGATGTGTAATTAGAAAAATGTTTAAAATATATGACACAAGTTTCAATAGAAATGACATTAAAGTATATTTAAGTTTACTTTAAATGCTTGTCAGTACATTCGGCAGTACATTGTAACCATATTTTAAAGGCAATTGAAGTAATTATGAAATTACAGAGAAAGATATACTAAGTCCTACTTGAGTATGTGAAAAATTCACTCTTAAATGCAACTAATTGCATTTAATATAATATTGCATTTAAACTATAATACATTATAATTTAATTGCAAATAACATGCAATTAAGTGTCCAGTAAGTACTCTTTTTAAAAGTATGCTGAAGTGCACTTCTTTTTCACAAGGGATTACATGCCGTCATCGTTTCAACAGGAATGTCTGAATGACTTTACTTTACTTGCACAACGACCAATTACCATGTGAAACGGATGTGAAAATTCATCACACTAATCAACCCCATTGTATTTTTCAGTCTAATGTGTATTTAAAATATGTAGAGCTTGAGAATGAAGTGATGCAAAATCTGTTAAAACCCTTTGGATATGGCCAAGCCATTGAATTCTCAGGCACTCATTTTCAAATGTATGATCCATTCAGTGCTGGGGTAAAACAGGAGGCACTAAAGAGTAACCACATCTTATACCTCAATTGTGCTGAGAGACCTGCTCAAGGGAGTGTCATTTGGTCGGAAATAATTCTACCTGTTTACAAACTGGTTTGTTCTTATGTTCAAATGAATTCATGTGAAGTATTGCTTTATAGGAGAGTGAAGGCAAGATTCTGTGCTGCTTATCATAACCTCATGAATTGTCCTATTGATATCAGAAACATGAAGGATCCAAGAAATTGTAAAACCTGAAAAACAACACTCTAATGCAAATCCAGGTCATGAACATCTAAACTGACTGTTAACACTGCCAGCATATAGATCAAATTCAGACATTAAGGACACAAAATACAAAAAAATGAAATGATTTTGACATGATCTGGGACCCAAATTCCATCAAATGGCACTTCAATAGTGTTACGCTTCACTGCACTATGAAAAATAGATGTATGTAATGAAGAATTATTTATATATTTTGAACATTTATTATCTGTCTTGAGTATTTGTTTATGACTAAAGCATATTGACTAAAAAGGTTTATATACAAGTTTTTATAGGGAACACAACCACTCCAAGTAGTTTGGTGTCACCCAAAGATTTTGCTGTAAATGTAACTTATTTCTTATAACTTCGTTTTTATGTTTGGTGTGCTATCCATTCTAGCTGTATATAATGTGAATGTTATGTTACAGCCGCTCAGTAAAATATTCGATATAATGTTTGTATGTTTTGAAGGCATAGGCAAAATAAATCAGTTTTGAAAGAATAATTGTTTCATTTAATATTTAAATACAGGTTTTTAAAAATACAACCTTTATTCTATTCTTATGTGTTTAGTCTCTTATGCTCACAAAGGCTGCATTTGTTTGAGCACAAACTGTAAAAACAGTACTATTGTGAAATATTATTACAATTTAAAAACTTTTATATATATATATATATATATATTAAAATCTAATTTAATCTTGTGACGGCAAAGCTGAGTTTTCAGCTGCTGTTACTCCAGTCTTCAGTGTAACACGATCCTTCAGAAATCATTCTAATATGCTGATTTTTTTATTACTATATTCATTCATCATATAAGACAAAGAACAATGAAATAACTTTATTCAAACACAAACATATTTACTCAAACTCTGAACAAGCGCATACCTGCAACCAAAATACACATAAATAAACAGTATTGGATAGATGTCTCTAGACGTATCAGAAAATGAACCAGAGTGATTGCATATATATCAAAACAGAGCTTACTAGAAACATTCATATCATAATATTCCATGATTACAGCTGTACTTATGAAATGACAGTTGCATTACTGTTAAATGTCTGTGAAATTGCAGTTATCGAGTAGTTGTTTAGACCTGCACTAAGACTACAGCTTCACTGGAGATTTGAGTATCTAAAAGCAACTGATTTCCGTCATGTTGTCTTATTGTTATGTAATACCAGCGAGGGCTTTTGACCTCAAAACAATCCTTTCAGTTCCTCCTGTGATGTGCTGTATTTCCACTTTATTGAGATGATGAACAGTCCACCAGTTTGCACCTGAAAAAACAGTCAAATAAAGTGCCAAGTTGTCCACAAAGAATAGATCCTGATAATCAGTGATTGGACACTGCAGGATTTCCCATTTCCTCTCCAATGGACTGACTCCCAAAGCCACTATCCTCTTTAGAATCTGGAAGAAAGGAAACATGTTTTATTCTCAATATACTGTTTAATGAGTTTGTGTCGGTGTCAGAGGTGAGAGGTTTCTCTTTCAGAGGGTGAACCGGTACCTGTGCTCTGCTTGTCCTCTCTGGGTTGGCTGTCTCTCAGCAGTCTCACTCCTTCACTCACACCCAGAGACTGCAGCGCCTCCACCAGGCCGTCCACAGGACCACCACTCAACTGAACATGAAAATAAATATACTTAATAAACCATTCATAAGGATGCCAACCAGCAATAGATCTACAAATACAAAATCCGTCTAGCCAAACAGATACAAGCTACAATTCTTCTTTTAAAAAAAAATATGTTTTATGAGTCGTTAAGTAGTTTATATGCCGCTGCTGTTTTGACTTGTTGAAATCAACTGTTTTAAAACAAGGTTACAATCGTTTTTATATCTTACTGACATTAGACGTAATGATTGCTATTCATATCAGATTAGGTAAGACAGTATTGACTATTATAATTTGGCTGGTAGGTAATAAATCAAATAGACCAATGTAAAAATGGGTTTAGAGATTGGCACTGTTACCAGCATAAACACTGTTTTGTGAACCTTTCATTGCACAGCAAATGTGATGCTATGCAAACTATGAATTTCTAAAAAGCCGTGTTTTATTATTAGCACTGTCACTTTCCCTTTTTGCTTGCAAACTCATCAGCGTTCATTTGTTGTGGATTCAAGCTGTTAGGACACCATCCACTGCATATAGTATTAGTAGCCTAGTCTGGCTTTCTTTCCTTTTATTTATGGATATGACATATTTTACAGAAGGATGAATGACAGAAGTCTGTATTTCCCACGAAAACCATCCCGACAGCTCTAAAAGATCAATTATCATAGGCTAGTGATTTGGGGTAAGGCCAAACACTGTTTGGAAGATGTATAAAGGATGTATTCGCTCATTGTTTAAATTTTGTTAATTTCAAACTAAAAAAAGTTACATAGTGTAGCTTTATATTACTTCCAGTTGATTAGTCACACTTTAAATGGAAGGTCAAACCAAACGCAATACATTGTGGGATATGACAAGAAGCTATACTGTATATTGCACATTTGGCAAATAAAATCTCCATGCATATAGAAAATTGGCATAATGTGCAGCATACATACTTTATACTACAGATAAAGTCATCGGTATGCTAGTATGCTATTCCAAACAGCTATGTGCCAGTGCCTATTTAACGTTATAACAGCATTTGCCAATTCGAGAGAAGAACGACAAGTCTCTTACCTGGTAGTTCTCGAGAAGCTTCTGGCAGGGTGAGGCACTATCCTGGTAAAGGTGAGTGAGTGTGAGCATGCCCAGTTTTTCCGCCAGCTCTCTCCAGGGTACGTGGTCTTCAATGAGAATACTACAGAGTTTTGTGAAGACCTCACTGTCCAAACCCTGGTTGGCTGCAGGAGGAGGAATACAGATCAGTCACGTATGCTAGAAGCATGAGTTTGTGAGAACATAAAGCATGCGTTTAAGTCTCATTACCTTCCTCAGTGCTGATTTTGGTTCTCTTGTGGGCGAGTGAACTGGGCTTGGGGCCTTTCCTTCCATCTAAAAGATCTCTAACCTGTGGAAGACGGTGGGGTTTCATAAGTTTAAATCTATCGCATTTATTTATTCATCCACCTTCAAATGTTCACACATTATACTTGATTATGACGAATACAACAGCTCAAACCTTTTGGCATTTGGCCAGGTCAAATGGTGTGTGTCCCACAGCAGGTCTCTTGCGTGGGTTAAATGTTCCTCTTTCAGATGATATCGACATGCAGTGAACTTGCTGAACCATGTGATCTGGAAGCTGCCTGTTGACTTCATTCTTCACGCACTCGTCATCTTCATCCGAGGAAGACGAGCTCTGGAGAAAAAGAGGCTCGTCATTCTCCATGCGTTTATCAGCACCTAAAAAAGAAGACAAAGAAGATCATTAATCAAACAAAACTTTATTTCACTGAACCCAAACTTGACTTATTTCAGTCATTTGCTCTGGATATGATTATTCTTAATTTCAAAGCTAGTCAGTTCAAATGTCATTAATTATGAGTGACAATCAATGAATGTCACACATTATGAAAATCTGGACAAAGACATTACTAAAATCACATGCTATATGTGACCCTCAACCACAAAACCAGTCTTAAGTCGCTTGGGTAAATTTTTAGCAATAGCCAAAAATACATTGTATAGGTCAAAATTATCGATTTTTCTTTTATGCCAAAAATCATTAGGATATTAAGTAAAGATCAGGTTCCATCAAGATATTTTGTAAATTTCCTACCGTAATTATATAAAATAATTATTTTTGATTAGTAATAGACCCTTATGACTGGTTTTGTGGTCCAGGGTCACATATAGTAAATGTTCATCTTTGCTCTAGAAACAAAACAACATGAGCATATTCTTAATGACTTTTCTTTGTGGTTTCTAGACCTTCACAGATGTTTAAGTGCATCATATTTGTATTAAATTTGTAGGAAAGAAGATTTCTCAGTTACCTGCAGCTATCAGCATGGAGCAGAGAGGTGGGGAGCCCTGACTG